TTTCTACAATTCCTGTTCGCCGGGTATATTATTAGAAAAATATCTAATTTTTTGCTTCTTTTCACAATTTCAATTTTAATGAAAGTAATAAGCGATCATGAATGATAGCACGACAAAAAGTAAATTTGTGATCTACTTTCTACAATTCCTGTTCTCCGGGTATTTTATTAGAAAAATATCTAATTTTTCTTCTTTTCACAATTTAAATTTTAATGAAAGTAATAGGCGACCATGAATGATAGCAAGACATATAGTAAATTTGTGATGTACTATCTACAATTCCTGTACGCCGGATATTTTTTTAGAAAAATATTTAATTTTTTGCTCATTTTCACAATTTCAATTTTAATGAAAGTAATGGGCGATCATGAATGATAGCAAAACAAAAAGTAAATTTGTGATGTACTATCTACAATTCCTGTACGCCGGTACGCCGGATATTTTTTTAGAAAAATATTTAATTTTTTGCTCATTTTCACAATTTCAATTTTAATGAAAGTAATGGGCGATCATGAATGATAGCAAGACAAAAAGTAAGTTTGTGATCTACTTTCTACAATTCCTGTTCGCCGGGTATTTTGTTAGAAAAATATCTAATTTTTTGCTTCTTTTCACAATTTAAATTTTAATGAAAGTAATAAGCGATCATGAATGATAGCACGACAAAAAGTAAATTTGTGATCTACTTTCTACAATTCCTGTTCTCCGGGTATTTTATTAGAAAAATATCTAATTTTTTGCTTCTTTTCACAATTTAAATTTTAATGAAAGTAATAGGCGACCATGAATGATAGCAAGACAAATAGTAAATTTGTGATGTACTATCGACAATTCCTGTACGCCGGATATTTTTTTAGAAAAATATTTAATTTTTTGCTCATTTTCACAATTTCAATTTTAATGAAAGTAATAGGCGATCATGAATGATAGCAGGACAAAAAGTAAATTTGTGATCTACTATCTACAATTCCTGTACGCCAGATATTTTTTTAGAAAAATATTTAATTTTTTGCCTCTTTTCACAATTTCAATTTTAATGAAAGTAATGGGCGATCATGAATGATAGCAAAACAAAAAGTAAATTTGTGATCTACTACCTACAATTCCTGTTCGCCGGGTATTTTATTAGAAAAATATTTAATTTTTTGCCTCTTTTCACAATTTCAATTTTAATGAAAGTAATGGGCGATCATGAATGATAGCAAAACAAAAAGTAAATTTGTGATCTACTACCTACAATTCCTGTTTGCCGGGTATTTTATTAGAAAAATATCTAATTTTTTGCTTCTTTTCACAATTTGAATTTTAATGAAAGTAATAGGCGATCGTGAATGATACTAAGCGAAAAAGTAAATTTGCAGTTAAATTATATAAATTAAATCTACTTTCCACAAATATTTCCAGTATCTATAATTAATTATTAATCACAAAAATTATAGATTATAATTATTTGAAATTTTTTGGAATCTAATTTTACTATGTTATAAATTTTTAATTATTTTATTGGCTCTTAATTTTAAAAACTAATAAAAAAAGGATTTATTTTAGGTAATAGAAAAATAGTGAAAAACATTAAGAAATTTGTGTGATATTTTTGATGTAATTGTTGCACTATTTGAATGCGAGAAACTGTGTTTTAGTAAAATAAAATATTTATAAAAACTATTATAATTTGATAAATAAAAGTTAATTAAATTTTTATTTAAGATTATTGAACATTTAACTAATACGTTGAAATGTTTTGCAAGAATTTATGAAATAATTGTTTCTTTCTTGCATAAAGTCTTTACTGAAGATCTAAACAACTTATTTAGTATGAAAACTTGCTTGATCAAATTTTAGGAATAACATAGTTGGTCAGTGTATTTCAAATAAATTTTTTTTTAAATTGACCTTTGATAACCCTGGGAATGAATTTTATAAATATGAAAAATCATATTAAATACTACGTCGCTGTCTATTGGCTTGATTTGCATGAACTAGTTTAGTTTTTAAATATGTGTATTTTTATAAAAGAGTTTCTTTTTATCTTATTTATTTAATTTTTAATTATATTTTTTTTCATTCTTAATGACGTGAATAATAAGTTTAAATTCCTATATTTAATTATTTTCCTGTATTTAAATTATAGCAATAAAACTGTTTTATATATCTAAATTGCATTATTTTCTATTATTTTTATAAGAATTTTTATGAATAATTGCTTTCATACCATGGAACCATGGAACAGCTATATTGGGGTGTAAATAATTGTATATTTTGGTACTCATGAAAATAAGTTTCATTTTTAATGTTTGTATTTAAAATTTGAAAAATTTGAGTAAAATATTATAATGAATATCTCTTTTATGAAGATAAATTTAATTTATATTTTATCGGTGCTCAAATTTCTACGATTCTATTTAGAAAAGACAGAAAAGAAGAAAGGGTGTCAATAATTGTATACGTTACGTTAATACAAGATATTTTGATTTCAATTGTTAAAGTCTTATAGATTAAAAAAACCTGACCTTTAAACCAGTACTTTGAATATATATTATTTGTATTTAATTATTAAATAAAAACTTATGTTAAACTAATTTTTTGCAAAAATATTGTGCTTTCATTATAGACTAGTCTGCTTTTTACACTGCAATATTCTGAAATTTTATAAAAAAGTATTGAAAATTTTTTCAATTTACTGTTTTTTATGTGTTATCAGGAGAGATAGAGAGAAAAAAAACGTGTGTATGTATGTGTTACTAATTAAATTTTTGTATAAAATTTATAATAATATATGCATGAATATATGTACATTATAATTAAATATATGTATGAATGTAAAAATGAGTAAATATAAAATTTTTTTTTAGATAAAAATCAAAATTATTTTAGTAGTTTTGTTGTTTTTTTTTTTTAATATTTATATGGTATTTTCTTATTTCTTTTTGTCTTCTTTTATTTCACTATTTTTTAATTTTCAGCCACAAAAATATTTAAAAATGAATAATTAATGTTTGTCTAATAATTTTTATAATTTAATTAAATATTTTTTTTTGTTTTTTAATAATTTATTAATTTATTTTTTTTTTTGTATATTCATTAATATTCATGTTTTTTCTTATTTGTAAATTATGATACTTGGGTGATGACAATAATGCTTTCTTTTCAAAATATATGTATATATATATATATATATATGTATATATGTATATATATATCGAATATATAGTTTTGTTTTTTTTAATAATCATATTTTTTTTCTCTTGTAAAATATTTATAATGAAATTATAGGTATATTTTTCAAATTTTAATTTCATTTTTTTTATGTTTCTTTCATTTTTTTTATTTATAAAATTATTGTATATATGACATGATTTATTTCTATATATACACAAATACATATTTATATATATATATATATATATATATATATATATATATATATATATGCGTTTAAATAATTATACTATTTCTAAATATTCATAATTATTTTTGTATAACATATCTATGTACATAATATTATATATGTATATATGAATGTAACACCACGACGACTTCAAAACTCCAATATAATATACAATATTTATACACAATTCAACTTATGAATTTTAATTGCTGAATTGTGTATTAATGTCGCATTACATTAGTTTTAAAGTTTAAGGACATTATAACTCTAAATTTTATATAAATATGAAATGATTTAGTTGCATGTATGTATATGTATGAACAAAATATTACGATAAAGTATACTTTTTATTTACTAATCTTATATATATAAATAACCATATATAATGGACTCATTCAACTGAATTGGTTCTCGGATTGAAGCTCCTTAGTCAGGTCACTATAAATTGTAATAGGATATAATATTTTGTTCAATGTATATTAGAATTATATTTAATATTCTATAAATTATATACCATACAATAGTAAACACAATAAAAATATAATTTTAAATATGTATATAATAACTACAAATAACATATAAAGAAAACTATATGTCAAGTTTAAGTCATTTACCTATTATTATACATATAGTAAAGCCGAGAACTGATGTATGAAACTGACAAGGCATGACTATCTACATTTTATGATGTCATGCAATACAGCCATCATATATATATATATGTCATAGTCCAGGAAAAAAAACCGTATTTTAGGAATTTTAGTTATACGAATACTGATACATAATTCGTCAATTTAAATAAATTAAATTGTGTATTAATGCCATCAGCATTATAAATTTATACAAAAATGTGTTGATTCAACTAGTAATTATTAAAGATGTGAGAATATGAGAATATTTATTTATTAATTCAAAAGACTCTTATAAAAAATAATAATATATAGTAAATAAGAAATAGAAAAATGAATTACATGTATGTATTCGCGTATATAACTGAACGTGTTTTGTATATATAAATGAATGTTGAAGCATGTAGTGTATGTATATATGCCTGAAAAATAATATAAATGCGTTAATTAATTGAAAAAACGTAAACTTTTTTTAATGTATATGTATGTTATTAAAAATATATTATTAAAATATCATATATGAAATGAAACACATTTACATCAAAGATATATATAAATATATATCTTTGTATATGTATATATACATATATATGTATATTTACATATATATATACATATATATGTATATATATGTATTTATATGTATGAATATATATATATATATATATATATATATATTCATATATCAAGTATATATATATATATATATATATATTCATATATCAAGTATATATATATATATATATATATATATATATATATATATATATATATATATATATATATATATATATATATATACATATATTAGATGAATGTATATATGTTTATATATTAAAAGAAATAAAACAAAAAATTGTATTTACAAATATGATTTAGATAATAAAATATTTGTTTTTTTTTTTATATATTTTATATAATAATTAATGTACATATATATGTTCAGAGTGTAACATAACATAGTATATATATAAAGTGCACCATATTCCATATTGCTATTTAGATTTCTGTTTTTTTGCAAGCGAAATAGAAGATAAGAGGAAAAAATATTTTATAAGTTAAGTATAAATTTTTGGTCATTGTTAATTTTATTCAGCAAATTAATTTCGCATATTGCTCAATGAAACTTTGAAATTAATACAATGTAAAATTTGTAATCAAAATATTACATATAAGGACATGCATAAAATATAATGAGGTTCCGAAATCATATTTTACCATAAGCTGAATTGTATATTAATATCGTATTATAACATTTTTTAAATTAGGGAGTTTTATTTGCACTTGCATGTATGGTAAAAAGTAACTCGAGTTAGATTGGAAAAGGTAGTAAAAAAATTTTATAGAAATCTAAATAACTTTTTTCTTTAAATATTTGCATAGATAAAAATTTGATTGCACTTGATTTCTTATATATGAACACTCTAATTTTTATATATAATTAATACATGAATTTCTTTTTCTTTTTTTAACTTAATTTTTATATTTAATAAATATTATTATGATAAATGTATATTATGCATATTTTTATATGAATGTATAACACATTAACTTAATATATACATATTAATATATATATATATATATATATATATACATTATACATATTATGTATACATTATACATATTATGTACATATTTATTCAGGTTTTAATCGATGCCATTGTACTATGGTTTGTCGAGGTTTCGAAATCATATCTTGCCAATGTTTTGTTTCTGAAGCACCTGATCCATTTTTACCTAAATAAGAAAAAAAGTTGAAAAAAATTATTTAATACATATTTTAAAAATTTTCCAATATCTATAAAGTCATGAATTCGAGATCTTATATATATTACTTCATTTCAATTTTTGATACTTGAAATTCTATATAGTTCAACAAAATTTATTTAAATTCTTATACATAAATTTATACAGAGGATATATCAAATTTTAAATGGAGACAACGTTTCATATGGACAAAATCGGTGTAAATTTAATTCAAAAATTTAAATTTAATTTTTTTGAAACAAGTTTGTTATTAATTTAATTTTACTTACCAGCTAATAATATTCTTCCTATAAGCTCATTGCGACCAATATTGTCAAAATCCATTACCATAATATCTAAAGAACATTCACGTATTTTTTCCCATGGTACATTGAAACTAAATGATTCATTAAATACTGGATTAAGAGTACATTTAAAAATTGGAGTCTTTCTTTTTTCAACACGTTTATCACCAAATTGTAGCCAGACTTTAACATATGGATCTATATACATATATATATATATATATATATATATATATATATATATATATATATATATATATATATAAGGGTATGTGTATATATATCAAATATATGAATATATATATAAATATTTACATATATGGTTATACACATATATATTTTTGTGTATGTGAGATTGGTACATGTAAATTAAAAAAAAAAAAGAAAAAAAGTTAAATTAAATGCTTTTTTTTTTATTTCAATATTTATTTCAAATAAATAAAAGTAGAATAAAAAGAAAAATAAAAGTAAAAAAAATCAATTTTTTTCTAATTTTGAATGTCATTGCTTTATCTTATCATCCTTTAAATTTTTTTTCCGATATTGTATTGATTATAATTTTTATATTTAGTGTTTGTAAAAAATGAGTAAATACAATGCTTTCTTTTATACTTTAATTATTTTTTCAAATTTAAAACTATTTTCATTCAAATATATTCAATACAATAGTCAGACAAAAGTTCCAGCGGTCCTAAATTGGCATTATTTGCACATTAAGTATTTTTATAGAATGTAAAATATATAATGAGTTTTCTTTTGCATAAATTTTGGTGGGATAGAGTTCGGTTGCTAGAAGACACAGATATTTTAGGCAGGGCCTTTATACTATTGAGAAACTTACATCCAATTTTTTGAGGAATATTTTCGGGTATACACTTGAAACCAGAATAAAATAAAGGTGAAGGTACGAGTATGAAGAACAAGTACTCTTACCAATATCTGTCCATATTAATATCTGTATAATATCTGTGAGAGGAATAACGTAACTGGTGTATTGCATGAAAACATTGAGTTTTCCCCGATAATTCGAAATAATAAAAATAATCCGAATAAATCGTTTTCTATCGTTGATTATTTTTGATAATATTTTTGTTGTTTTATACTTTTGTATGCCTTATTATTTTTTATTAATTTTGTTTTCGGATGATAAGATATTTTCTTTTTTTTTTGTTTTGACTGACCAATTATATAGTAAAACTTAATTTAAAAGTAAAAAAATAAATTAATCCAAAAAAAAACTGCGAAAAAATTTTTTTTTGTTTAGTTCTTTATTTATCTTTTTCCCCTAAAAAAATTCAAAAACAATGAAATTAATTCAGAATTCAGGTGATTACCTGACTTTCCATTAATATCTTTTGCTTTTAAATTTCTTGCTTTTATTAATGTAAGCGTCAATATTGAATTCGATGGATGATAACAAAGAGATGCTAACAATTCACCACATTTATCTTTAGCCGGTGGTTTTAATGCTTTCCAGAATGATTGCTTACCAGCAAAATCAACCTTTAATTTAAAATTCATATATATATATATATATATATATATATACATACAATTATATTATAATTTTACACATTTATGTTTAATAAACTATATATATATATATAAATGTTAGCATCTACATATAATACAATATTTAAATAATAATTTGTTTTTTTTTTGTATATTCAATATAATAATATTCTATATATAAAAACAAGTATTTAATGTTATATATACATATACTTAAGCACAATATTTTGAAAATATAATGAATAATGAATAATTTAAAATGATGTCATTAATTGTTTTTGAAGAAGGCAACTACCATAATAATACTTAGAATTTTTAGTGATTTTGTTTTTCAGTTTAAGAATAGTTATCGTAGCAATAAATTTTGACAATTGAATGATCAATCGATAAACCAAAATAATTTTTATAATTGAATGATCAAAAATTTAACTACTGATCCAGAATACTTATATATATAGAATGAATATGAATATAATATTTAACATTCTTATTTTGGAGTGTTACAAACTTGTAAATTTATAATAATTCCACGAATATATTTGTTGCACCATATTTAGTATAGAAAACTATATTTGGCTTATGCAGAAATGCCCCACCTGTTCTGTAAATAACGCTTCAATCAAATAGCGCCTTTAAAAAAATATTTAAGTCATGCGTTATAATTGTAGTTATGACACCCAACAATAATTGAAATGTTCTTGTTAGAATTGAAGATGATTACGGTTATTACGGTTTGTATTTTGAACAAAAAGTATTAAATGAATATACGATTACTATAGTAGATTTGATCAAATAAATTTTCTATATACAATTTGCCATATTTAAAACTAATGTTTTATTGTCTTCCTTGTAAAATGATATTTTAATAACAATACACCAAAATAATGCTGAATATTTTGGGCTCACTAATGATACTATTTACATAAAAAGTAACAAAGAAAATATTACCTGACATAATGGTAAAAAAACTTCACCGATGGAATCGTCCCTAGAAAATCTATCATAATCAAACACATGCAAATGCAGCACCTAAAAAAAAAATTTTTTTTAAAAAGTGTATAAAAAATGAAGAAAAATATAAATTTTAGATATATTCTTGTAAAATTAATGTATTTTAACTGCAATTTATTCAGAAAGAGTAAAATAAAAAGAAAGAAAAAACTACCCGTGACTGTAATTTTTGTATCGGAAATCCTTCAAAATAAAATGTTTCATTCCATCGTGGATTTAACGTTCTTCTTTTAATTTTTGTTTCTAAACGATGTTTTTTATCAGGTAACAATGTTACTCTGACATATGGATCAGACGTTCCACTTAAATCTTTAGCTGGTAGCTCTTTACCCTACAAAAAAAATGCGTTATTTCAAATATTTAATTTCATAACTTCAAAATTTCAGTAAAATCATACAGGAATTTTTTATAAAAAGAGTGGATTGTTGGGGGGAGAGGAAAAAAATTGTTCGTGCCTGGTTGCAGTGTTAGAGGGTTAAAGAAAATCCGATTGAAAAAATTCTATTTGGCAAAATGTCCACAACAGTTTTGAAGTTATTAAAGCTTTTCTTAACTTTTTTCTCAGTAAAAGTTGACAGTTATCATTTTGTCGATTAAATAAAAATTTTTTTTCAATTTGTTATTATTTTAACAATCATAAATACTAATAACAAACTTACCTGTAAAACTTTTAATATTAATGTAGTATTTTGAAAATCATATTCTACTGAAAAGTGAATTTGTCCAACATTCTCACTTGGTTCTGAATTATCAATATACATATCAACCATTGAAACACTTCGATTCTAAAGAAAAAAATATTTGAATAAGATCATACAATAAAAATAAAATTCAATTTGTTTTTTTTCTTATTTTTTCAACTGGGAAAGGATTGGGATTGACGGAGTAACAACATGAACTGAAAATTTTAGTGGTATTAAAATATTTTTTAAAATATATTACGATTTACAATATATTTTGAAATATTTGATGAAAAATTCATAAAATGTCAATAATTTAAAAAAAAAATATATAAAATAATTTTAATACTTTAGAGGTACCGTTTGTACATCAAATAAAGTTTTGCCGATTAAATTTGACAAGTAGTCATTTATTTGCACATCAATAATAGCGAGAAAATCTATTTGCACATCAATAATAGCGAGAAAATCTTATATTGTCCTGTTTACTTTTTTTGATTTCTATTAATCAAAAAAATTGGTGGAAGTAGTGGACTAGATTTAATTTTTCTCATGCAATATTGCTTGATTTGACTTGGACCGTCATACATAGGTAATATTTTCATCAAATTTCCTTCGAATCAAATAAAGTTCTTTAAATTCGTCACTCTTTACATAATGCATGAATACGATTTCTGAATTTTATTAAATATGGTATCAAAAATTAATTATAGATTTACCGCTGAATTTTCTTTTCCTCCAGTTGAGTCCCGTTCTATGCCGGAATTTGAACCGCCTGGTGATTTTGTTTGTGGGCTTTGTGCTGCCGTCCTAAATGGTTCGGTGAAACTTTTGTTTAGAATTGTTTACGGTTTTTTTATGATTTGTGTGAGTTTTTTTTGATCAATTGATATTTTTTTAATTGAGTTATAGTGGTGAGTAATTGTTGGTGAGTTTTTTTTAATTTATTTTATTTTTGGTGATTTTTTTTTTATTGGAAACGATAAAAACGCATTTGGGATTTTTGTTTATTTATTTTGAAATTGCATAAAAAAATAAAAAGAAATGAAACGGAATTAAAATTGTGATGTTCATAATTGGAGATTTTTGATCTTTTTAATAAAATAATCATTTTTTCTTTTTAAACAATTTAAATTGTAAACATAAAATAAAATAAAATTCAATAAATTAAAAACCACATTGAAAAACATCGAAAAGTTTAATTTAAAAAAAATGTTAAGAACGAAACAGAAAGAGGTAAATAACAGAAAAAAGCAACAAATATGAAACGTAAAAATGCAAAATAAATTTTTTTTTGTTTTAGCAATCAACAAAATTTTCTAACACGAAAACTTATCAAAGAAATTTATCTTTTGTAACCTAAGTTAAACTTTTGTAAATGTATATGAAGAGAAAAAATGGATGGGGAGAGGAGTGTCAATGAGTTTAAAATCGAAAACACTTAGCTACTCAAAATATACTTTCTTGAAGAACTTTTACACGATACAATATGATCACAATACGATACGATGGACATATTTTGACTATATCAATAGTCAATTTTTTTGAAATAGAAATTCGAAGGTCAATAGCTGTTATTTTTGTCAAATGATTTATTTTTAAATTGCATTTTTACCGTCAAAGCCAATTATTTTTTTTTGAAAATAGAAGCGGAAGGTTTTATAAAATAAAACGTACATCTATTTTGATATATATCTATACATTATTTGAAATTATGTATATTTAAAATAATATAAAATTTTTGATTATAATTTCAATTTCAATCGATATTTGTACAAAGAGAATAATGTCCATTAAATTACCAACGTAATGTTTTCTACATTTTATATATGTGTTATTAAAGAAATTATACAAATTAACTTAATAATTTTGTTTAAAGCTGAATTTTCTTTTGCAATTTATTATCATTTTGCAATGTCAAGTTTATCTTAAGTATATGTATAAAAAATGAACACAAAATAATCTTTTTAAAAACATCAATAAACAAACACGATAACATCACATTCAACATTTTTTTTTAATTTAAAAACATTTATTTATAATAATTATGTTTTTAAAAACAATATCAAAACTTAAAAGAATAAAAAATAAATCAAAACAAGAATTAATAAACTAATACAATTAAAACATAAAAAAAATTAAAAAAGAGTTTTACTATATATTTAATATATGAAAAGCATTTAATATTTCAAAAATGGTATTAATCTGTGTTTTTAGAAAAATGTATAATTTTTTTAATTATAAGGGAAAAAAAGCGAAAAATCAAAATTTAAAATTATAATTAATTTTATAAAAGAATGAAATGTTTTGGCAACACTCTTATTTTATAACAAAATCTGATATTTTGCGATTTTTATTTATTTTTGTATATAATAATTTACATAAACTAAATATATATAAAATTATCATGCTTTTCCGAAGGAAAATGGAACTTTGGATTCATTATTTGTTTTTCATTTAAGGTTTTCTTGCTTCATTTAAAGTTGTATATATACATATAAATATAAAATGCATTCAAACAAAATAAACACACAATAGTGGAAATACATTCTCTCGTACTCATCTATTAACTGACATACAAATTAAAAAAAAATACAGTGCATATTGAAAACTAGAATAGCGGAGCAAATAATTATTTCATTAATTAAAAAAATAGTTATGTGAAGCGTGTTAGTTTGTCAAAATGACGAAAATCACTTATAGCGTAATAAATGACAAAGTCTTCTTTTCAACACTTTAGGCGATTGCAATTTCTAAGAAAAACTCTTATAATCGTTCAATATTAAAATCTAAACTTTGATTTTAGATTTTTTTTTTGATATTTCAGTATATAGGGTGATTCAGAAACGTATACAACAACATATACCATTGGTTAGAAAGTTGAAAATATGTAAAACTTTTGTTCTGGACTAGGTGCGAAACTTCAAGGGTTTCCGAGTTACAGGGATTTCAACGAATTTTGACTAAATTTTTGCTTATCCAAGTTTTTTTGAATATAACCCGAAAAAGAAAGGGGCTACTTGCCCACCAGTACTTTGCTTTTGACAGTATAATATTGTAATGTCATTATATATATAATGCTGATCCTATAAATACTTAATATCTTAAATAACATATTATATACTATTCTAAAAAAACTATTGCAAATTAAATGATAAATAATATGAAGATTGTTTTTCTTTAATGAAAATCTACATTTTTAAATATTTTAGGTAAAAAGTTCATACATAATTTTCTAAACAGCACATCAAAATGTGTGCATACTTAATAAATAGATTAAATCGGCAATTATAACTTCTAAGTTAACATCTTTGTAAAAATAATATTTTTAATTGATAATTTGGTGCTTTTATATTTATATGACAATAGTTTAATAAATATGACTGTCTCTGAAATTATTTTACCTTCAATATAACTGCTACTCTACTATTTGATTCTCTCTCTTCTCGGTATCTCTCTTTGTAAAAAAATTGAAATTAAAAAAATAATGTCATTCAAGTTACTTTTTCTTAAAAAATACTCCAAAATATCAAATAAATTTTATAGTAAATTATTTTCTATTATACAAATTTTCTATACATACGAATTATGGAGATTTTTTTATTGAAATAAAAAATATTTATCAATTATCAATTATTAGATATATTAATAAGAAAATTACAGTATAATTTTAAACAAATATGTATTATACAGTATACTTGTAATGGTAGTTTTCATGAAGTTGTCAATTGATTTGTACATCAAAAATTATATTCGAATTTTGTCAAATTTTTAATAAGTTCAATTTTGCTAAACAATTATTACATATTTATACAATTTTGTATAAAATTTTTTTATAAAAATATCGTATTTTTATAGAATAAAATATTGTATTTTAAACTATTTTTAGAGATGTGCCGATCTACCGGTCTGTCGTTCTGTCTGTCTATCTGTCTGTGCTTCACACAGATGAACAAATTTTCATGAAATTATATAATATGTGAATTTGTTTTGGCTATTTTACGGATTAATCAACTTTTGGTATATATCAGGCCTGGGAAATCTGATAGGACTGCATCAGATTTTTTTCCATGTAGACTCACCGACAAAAAAAAAAGTCGTATGGCATTCTAAGTTTAATGTAGTAAAAATCTGAATTAAATAAATGCAGACAAAATATTTCATAAATTATAAACATAAAAATATAAACACATGTATACGTTTTTTTGGCATAATTTTTGTCTAATTTTGAAAATTGTATATGTAATTTAAAAGTAAGAATAAAAGCAAAAACACAATTATTGACAGGAGCTTCGAATAAAAAGGAATATACCTGATTTCGCAAAGTTCGATTTCAAACATTTTATTAGTGTGGCTTCTTCTTTTTGTTGATTAGTGTAAGTTAATCAGATAAGAGTAGTAATGTTAAAATTAAAAAAAATACGAAGACAAAATAACTTGTAACAACTATACATCATGAACCCAAGAAAAAAAAATGTTGCAAAAATAAAAGAAAATAATTCGGCATTCGGTTTTGATCATCAATTAAAACTTAAAATTGTTATCATTTTATCACAGAGCAGCAACATTAATTTATAGAGATAATAACGGTATTATATAAAACATATATAATATTAAAGAAAAACATTTAAAACAAATTCAATATTTTATTACTTAAACATAAATAAAACCAATAAAAAGCATAAAAAATTGTCAAATTTGACAAATTATTTATTTTTATAATAAAAGGATGTGTAAAACCAGAAAGAGAAATTGTATTCAATTTCATACATTGATATTTTTTTATAATATAAATATCTTTTTTTTTCCATAGTTTGCAATTATAATAAAATATAGAAGATAATAAATTTAAAAAAGTATGATATAATTTGCTAGAAATAAAGATAACAGCTTTGAACGTTTTGGTAATAATATTAGTGCTAACACTTTTATTGTATGGTCTTAATTTTATTAAGTTTTTGCGGAGCAAATTCTTTAGCGTTCATAGGCATGATTATTGGTTGAAATATTTTTTCTCTTTTTATTTTGTATTCAGAGACACTGTTGTTGTATTATAATAATCTATAAATGTTGATTGTTCTTATTAATGATTTAATCAAAAGAAGAAGACGTAGGGACGAAATTATATATTTTATTTTCACATCAAGAATTTCAATCGTTTTATATTTTTGCTAAATAAAATAATTTTATATAAAAGAAAATTAATAATATTTTGATTTAAATTTTAATTTACTACACAAACATTTAATACGATTTTTTGATTAGTTAGGCATTACTGTTCACGCGTTGCTGCTGCTTTTTTTCTTTCAATTGACAAACACATGAAACAACATGTTTTATTTTTTAAGTTTTCATTTTTAATAATTTTATTCATATCCTTTCTTAATTGTCACAATTATTTAAAAAATTAATTGAAAAAAAATTTAATAACAAAAAAAAAAGAATGAAATTGAAATTATATTAATTTGTGCATACATACATATATACATATATATAACATAACACATTATTTTTTAAGCCATAGAAAAATATAAAGATAGTGAGAAGATGATTTGAAAGATCAAAAGAGTAAGAAAAAAACAAAACAGATAATTATTTAAGAGTTCGAAGGGGTACAAGCTTTACTGCACAGCAGATTTGTGAAAAAAAAGAGAAAAAGACTTTGAAAGAAAGAGAGAGTAAGATATATCATTAAATTGGTAATACTAATTTTAGAGAGATATTCAAATTAAATTTATTTTATTTTATTTGAAAAAAAAAATTTATTATATTATTTTTACTCCATCATATGGAAGAAAAAGAGACACAAACAAAGAGAGACAGAGAAA